CGGAAGTAAAGTTAGCGGAACCCTAAGCCCTTTTAATTGTATCGGTTGCAGTGGGTCGTGAAAATGATAGTCTTGAATCGATTTTTTTAACCGATTCTATTGAAGAGTTTGTAAAAAATTTTTAAAATGGCTTCAGTTTCGATCTTGTATAATCCGACGGAATTTATAAAAGACTTATTTTCAATGTTGATCTCGTAGTGAGGAAATGAATTTTGTACAATTTCTATCCCGATGTGTGGTAGATTGTCATTTTCTAGGACGTTTTGTTCGTGCTTCTCAGTTATGAAGAAAGCTGTTTCATCGTACGTCCAACCTTTAGATCTTCCTGGTACGATGTCTTGTCCCACAACCTCTATTGGGTCATCCGTGAAGCCGCAGTGAAGGTCTTTTGTAGCTTGATCGACTGTGTTAATATTCAATTGTGGATCGCGTATTTCAAGTTCAAGTAGTACGTTTTTTGTTTCAAAAAGCTTAATGGGCTTGCTGAGTCCACTTGTATTTTTAGTTGTACAAAATTTTCTCTTTCCAATCCAATGAAGAGTAGTTTCTTTAATACTTTTCCATCGTTGTTAAATATCGTGTCACGTTTAATACCAAATAATCAATAATCGTCGTTATCGCCTTATTCTGTTTCCGATCATGCATTAATTACTCCGCAACACTCTTTATGTACATGGTTATCTACAGCAGGTTGATCCGACGGATTTACAAATTCGGTATTTACCATTCGTAATCATTTACACTTTTTAAGTTTTTTCTTCGAGATTTGCAATTTTTTGTGAAATGCCCTTTAAAGTTACAAAATGTACCAATCGTGTCCTTCGCTGGACAAATTGCAAGATGTCCCTTTGTAAAACTTCCTCCGCATTTAAAACAAACAAGAATTTCCTCTGTAAACTGCTTAATTTGCTCCTCGTTTTTTTAAAAACTGGTGGTTATTTACAGAACTATTTATTACAGGGTAAGATGATTTAAAAAAACTTGTCAAATGAATTGAAATTCGTTTCGCATCAACTAGGGCGACATTTAAGACTACTTGGGGGGGGGGAAGAGTTTCAGTCATAAGTTTCTTCTGGATTTCGCAGTTTTTCATGATGTGATTAAAAGTTCCACCAATCCATTTCTCCTGTCCACTGGATATGTCGCATTTCTTTGCCACTTCTGCAAGAGCGCGCCAGAATTGTTCCAAAGTTTTTCTATCTCTCTGGCGTCTATTGAGTAGCTTATGGCGTTCGAAAGATATTTTGGGTTTTCTAAAAAAAAGTTTAGTTTAGGGAGTCTCAAAATTCGGCGAAATTTATCCGTAGGATTTTGACTTTTGAAAACTTTTGTGAGTAAACTCTTTTACTATCGCTACCAAGTGCCTGGTATAACATAGAGCGAGCCTTCTTTCCCGCTTCTTCCATCCGCATTTCATTGAATGTCTTTGTTTCTAACTTGATTTGGGATTTCTCGAAATCGTTGAATCTGTTTCTTTCTTCTGCGTTCCGGGCTAAACCATTCGTTGTGAGGCTCTTCCTCTAGTTGTAGGATGTCTGGTTTCAGGAATTTGAGTGGGTTTAATAGGTTGTCAATATCGATATTCTCGTTGGTTATTCATGCCAACTGGAACGTATCCCTCCAAACTTCCACGATTTGGGGGAACGATAGTGTGCGATTGCCAGAACGGGGGTACTCTCCTCATGTCGGATTCGTTTACAGATGACTGCGCCATAATAAAATGTACTAAGACTCAACATAATCTAACTTAAAATAAGTAGAAAATGAGAATTGTAGTTCAATTAAAATGTGTGTTAATTCTAACAAAGACACAAATAACAATGAAGCTCGCTCACTCCGAAGGAGGTTACTTGCGTTAAGCCAAGGTCAAATAAGACCAGTTAGTTAAAAACAGATCATTGAAGAATAAGAATCACAACAGGAAGCGAAGTTTTTTTTCGAAATTTTTTTTGAGTGTGATTGATCTTGCAACTGAAAAATGAGTTAAAAAAGTTCTTTAAGAAATGATTTTTTTTAGTTCGGAAACTTCTTATGCAGCGCTGTAAAACATGTATATCATACCATTGTCTTATATGGAAATTGTTTCATAACATTTTTTCCAAACATTCAATGTATGAAAATGTACGATGAGCGTTTTTTATGGAATTGTATGACAAGCACTTTTTATGTATGAAGGTCAAACCGGCCTGATAATTTTAAAATCTCTTCAAAAATTATTTCAACTTCTATCTTTGTTCTATCTAATAGCGCAAAATTAGAGTAAAATAAAAATCTAACACCAATTTGTTACAACTAAAAAAAAACATATTTGGAGCTATTAAACATTTTGGAGCTTAAAAAACATGTTGTCATTGATAAAAGTCTTATAGCTGAAAAAAGCTAACTGCCTAATTAGAGCAACATTAGGTTATATTGGATCATTTTTTTCTCCCCTTAATTGATTTCAGAAGGGGAATAAATTTACTTGATTACTTTTGAAAACTCAACTCCCATTCTATTGATACGTGTTAAGCGTATGCCTAAAATGTTTGTTTTATGATTCTATGCTACAAAATCTTTCCAAACTGAATTGAGACAGCTAATTCAATTTGGTTTTTTCAACTCTATAAACGACTCACTCAAATTGTAACAATTGTTTTTGGTATTATCAGCCTAAAACTCATAGCTTTGCCAACATAAATTTACCAAAAATTATCCGAGACTAATTAGAGGGGAAATGAAACGTTCAGCGTTTTGCCCTGATACGAGCAGTTATGTTTTGGTTGATGAAAGAAGCAATTATCAAAATTTTCTCGCTTTTGCTTGCTAGCAGCTGAATTTTTAACAACCATATCTTTTATTCGGTCCTCGTAATACTTTGTGTTCAGAATGAACTTCATCAATCTTGGAAATCTATTTTGACACTTTTTTCTACTTCGGCACTTCTTTATGATACCGCCAATTTCAGTCGAATATATTTGAGTATAATTCATTAAGCTGGACTAATCACTTCTGATCCAAATTAATCACCTGAGAGATCATTAGTTGTTCTAATTTGGGGAATATAGTTTGAGCAAATGATGCTTGCTGTAAAGTTAAAAGTAAAACAAGTACAGAAGGCAAAGTTTCCAATATTTCCAGACAAAATATTTTTCGACCTAAGAAATGAACCATAGAGTGCGCCGGTTGTAAGAAATGTTTGACCACGAAATAGATAAATGATAATTTTATTGATAAATTTTAAAAAACGTTTTTTTGGCCTCAGAGAGCTTCTGATTTTTTTTCTGAGTTTTCTGCTGGTAAGACTTCGTACAATTTTTAAAGTTTGAATGCGAATGCATGATATTATAAAAAAGAGTTAAAAAACTCCGCTAACCTGGAAGAAACATTAAATTGAATACTTGAAACAATAAATTGAATAAATCGAATAACTTGAAATCATCCTTTATGTCTTGACGTAAAATTTGATACAATTTTTATTTATAAAAATCATAAACTAATTCATTTTTTTGAAGTTTTTTGGTCACCAAAATTGAAATTTGATTAATTGGATTAACAAAGATGGTCTACATAATCTTCATTCGCAGAGGTTGTATGAAAGACCAGCCAGCCTGTCTAAACATAGTCAGCTTCTCTTGGTTCCACACATTCCAGACTAAGTTACTTTGTTGAGCAAAGATGTTTTTTTTCTGCAACTCAAGGCCGTTTTTTGGGTCTAGAAGTCTTATGGTGTACCACTAGTGCCGCCGTAATTGGTCGGGCTGTTGGAAAAGTGAAAAGAGATGTCAAGTGGAAACTCATTCTTACACTTCATCATCGTCCTTTCACTTTATCATTGAAATCCTCAGCTGGGTTAAAACTGACAAATTTTTCAGAATTTCCCCACAGAATTGTAATCAAGGCTGGTTTAAAAGAAAATTACCAATTCTTTTCAAGGTAGGACTTGTATTTAAAACAAGTTTTAAAAAAGTTGGTACCTTCAATATAGAACATGTTCAAAAAGCTGATCAATTCTTTGTATTTTCAATAGCTTTTATGGGGTTTTTCATTTTGGCCTTCAAAAAAAGTTCGAATATTTGTGTTTGATTTTTAAAGAACTTTTTTTCCAATCGGCAATTTTCAAGTGGGATAATTTTTTGACCGTTTTTCCATATTTTTCGGGATTTTTTAATATTCGCAGACCCTCTACTTTGTGATCTTTAACGCGGTCCAGTTATACAACAAAATTTCGCGAAAATTATTAAACGTTATTTGCAGCTGCGGTCAATATTTTGGTGAAAAACAAATCTACGTGAACACTTTTCAGCAAAATGCCGGGATTGCAGTAGCGGATTTAGGGGGGAATGGCGGGGGTTGGTCGACCTAAAAAAAAAGAGGTCGACAATTTTTTCTTATTGAACATCCCCCCCCCCCCCTCGAGAAATTCCTAGATCCACGCCTGCTGAATTGGAACATTTTCAATTTTTGACAGTAAACTAGCCTTATTGGGTACTTCGGCACTTGAGCTTTTGTATTCCAAGTCATTTTTGTTAAAATTTTTTGCAAATAACAAAAAATCAAAAAGAAAAATGTGTATTTTTTGTAAGATATGCTCTCTTAAAAGTTTTTTTTTGTACAGGCCTCACTAATTGTATCGTGTTAAGTTTTAACTTAGTCTCTTGTTGTGATGTACATAATCCTGGCCACTAGAGAACAACACCATATGGCTCTCTGCCGACTTCTGAGTCTGTCTACTTGAAAACGGCGCTTATCCTTGAGCGATAATGGAGATAGTAATATATCTACTACTAGTATTTTATTTGATCCACTTAGGGGCGTATAAACTAATCATTTCATTAAAAATGATCCAAAAAAATGCAAACTGAAAATGATTTCATGCGACATTGGCGACAGAATGGAGAAAAAGTGAACTCACGTTCAAAGCTCCGGATGAAACCAATTTCACGCGCCAATGGACCATTTTTTATTTACTTTTATCTCTATTTTTCATTCGATCTATTTCCTTTGTTTGAACAAGGCTACCACTTAAACACACTAGATATTTGTAAACATGTTTACATTTTTGGACATCCTTTTTTGATCTTCTGGTTGGAAATTGACCATTTTCGTCCAATCAGCTGTTTACTTGTTTCCCAATTCCGTCCCTTCTTTTTGGCAAAATGCCGTCTAGTGAATTTAGAGGCATTAATATAGATAAGTTGAAATTGTTGTCCAGTGGTGTTTTTGATTGAGAGTGGAAAATAAATTACCTGAATGTAGCTAAAATTCCTTAACTTGTTTATAAACCCATTTCTAACCGGCTTGTTCTAGACACCGAAGGATAAACAAACAATTAACTAAAACACTAGCCCGGGGCACCTCCTCACAAAACATTTGATTTATGGAGCCGGATCTCGCCTGCGTTATCTTTATTCGCCCGATCCAAACCCGCCCCATTCCCAGCCCGTCTTCTATCATATTTTTTTGCTTTGCTTAACTATATGATAGTTGTTTTTGTTTCGACCACCGATGCAGCAACTTTTCGCCGCTCCTTCCAGCAAATGAATTCATTTTACAGCAACTTGACTTTGTTTACCTGAAAAACTGACCGAGTTGTTGACACATGCTGGGCTGACTTCTCCCTTTCCCAAGAAATCCTCAGTTTGTGTGTCTGAACAAGTTGCCGGTGCCATTTGAGTTTCCTTTATTGTATCGTAGATTTATCCTTCAAAAACTGCGAGGAAATGTTTTTGGAGTTCGACATACAATTTTTAAACCTAAATTAACAATGTTGACAAATCAAAAAATCAATTAAGCAATTAAGTTAGACAGGCAGGCTTTTGATCATAGCTTCAAAACAAGTTTTTTCTCCGTTTTAAGACGTAATGTTACGCACTTCACCCTGAAACATTGCGACGATCTGGAAACTAACATCAACATGAGTCTGGTTAATTTGAATTCAGGCTCCTTTTACATATCAACTGAAGACCTTTTATTCTACCATAGAGTCTCGCTTCAAAGTCACTCCACCGACTATTTTCCTCCAGGTACACTTGGACTGAAAATGAGGGAAGAAATACTTTCCGGAATCTTCCACAGATCCAGTGGCTCCCCCGCTCACAATGGCACTTCTGCAGCAATAGGGGGTCGTCACGAGGGACAGCTGGGCGCATTTAATGAGTCCTTCAATGGGACTGTGCTGTATGATGACGCCATGGGTCCGAGTGGGGGACTTGACCTGGGACTTCTGCTCAAAAACATCATCTACATCATCACTGGAGGTCAGTAAACTATCCAGTTTCACTGAATGTCGGAACTTCGTCCACTTCTCAAAAACAGATAAAGATAATAATTTTTAATTATTATCTTTATCAGCAAAATAATATTCGGAATGAAAATAAGCTATAGGGTATTAAGAAAGTTGCATGCAGTTTTGATTTGTTTTTTTTTGAAAATGGGTCATTCATACTAATTACCTCGAAATTTGCTCAAAATTTGTAATAATTTCGAAAAAAAAATACTCAAACTAATTGAACTAGCAAAATAGCTTGAACTTTTGTTTCAAATCGAGTAACTTTAGTTCATTAACTCAATTTTTGATTCCTCAAGAACGAGAAATTTTTTGCTGAATTCTGCTTATGTGTAAATAAAAATCTGGTGATGTTTAAACTCCAGATCATAATCTGATCATCGACTACTCATTTTGTTTCTATATCGTCTCTGGCCCTAAGACACAATTTATCAAAGTAAGTAATACATATGTAGCTAATGAAACCAAAGTCAACTTTTGACTGATTTTTTGATAAAGAAAATGTTATCATTAAGTAAATGTATTTTTTGTGTGTCGCCGAAACGCCATTTTAACGGGAAAAAAAACAAAAAAACGGCTTTTCTCAAGTTCTCTCTCGATTAAATTCCATTTAAACTAGCTAGCATTTATTTTTCAGCAGATCCGCTCATATACAAAAAAAATAAATTCAAGGAACTTAAAAAAGTCACTTCAGGAGGATCTTCTAACCCAAACTATAGACCCTCCACTCCCCATCAATTATCGGATTATCTTAATTACCCACACTTGAAAAATAAAATGAGGACGTATGACTGCATTCATTGCTTTTTCGTCGTTCTTGCATTCTTGCAAGATACTTTTAAGCTTATTTGACTATTAATCTACGAAAACAGCTTCATTTTTCCCTGCTCCAAAATGATGTGAAGGTTTAACTGTTGATAACTTCAAATCTATATTGTTTGTGCGCTGTAAATGATTAGCTTAACCGGATCGAGGGTTGATACTTATGTTAGTCTTTGACCAAAAATCCCTGTTTTTATGTCAAATCATAAAATCGAATCTAAACTTTAAACATAAAGTCACATAGAGTCAAACTCTAAAGTCGAAATATGAAGTCGAACACCCAAAGACGAAACTTCAATTTGAACTAATAATATAAACATATCAGATCGAAGATGAAATCATAAAAAAGTGGTGTTCCTGACAATCGCAGAGGAGCTATCCATTTGTACTATCTCCCCACATTCCAGACTGTGTTATTTTGATGAGCAAAGCTCTTTTTTGGCGACTCAAAGACGTTTTTTTTGCGTCTAGAACTTTTAAGAGGTTCCACGAATGCGGATAGAATGTGGTAGACCTGAAGCTAGAGGTCAAGTGAGAGCTAATCATTACACACTATCATTTGCCATGGCATAGGAATACAAGATCTGACGATTTCAGAGTGAACGCCTAACGCTAACCACTATGCTAAATGCCTCCAACACAATAATCAAATAAGCAAAGTCGAACAGGAACCCGGGTTGACAAAAAAAGTTTATCATACAATTTTCATATATGAAAATAATGCTTATCATACTCTTTCATACAATTTCATAGAGTAAAAGTGTATGTATGAAAATAGCAAAATAAGCATTTTTTTTTTCATATATGAATTGTATGATAAGCATTTTTTCCATACTATGAAATTGTATGACAAGCATTTATTCCATACAGGAAAATTCAAAAAATTGTTTCGAAATTTCGTATTTCAACCGAAACACTAGCCAAGGATTTTTTGTCATGAGAAAACCCAGATTGTAACTGGCAGTTACCACGCAGATAAACTTCATTTGGTGGTTTTAGGGGGTGTAGCCATAAAAGTAATTAAAATATTTTCATATGGAAATATATACCAAAAAAGTAACTTTTTGAATATGGCTAGATAATTTTTAGCTTGAAATTTATGATGGTTGAGAAAAAAGGCCTGTTTTTTTTACAAATTTATTTTTTTCATAGCAAATGAAACAGAAGATAATAATCGTGTTTACAAAAAAAAACATTATCATGTAATTTTTGGGTTTTTTGGGTGAGAAACTCATCCTGGACTACGTTATAAACACAAAAATGTCAAATTTTGCAGGCAAATTTTTTTTTGTAAAATTTATATTTTAGCACAAATGCAAATTTGCAGCCAAAAAAGGGATTAAAAATTGTTTACCTCAAATTTTTATTTTTGTTTATGAAAAAAATGCATATCATACAATTTTCATATATGAAAACTTTATGATAAGCATTTTTCTGACCGAAATTAAAATTATGTTTTCGATTGTCAATATGCCCTCTATCATAGATATACTTATTTAAATCTATTTAAAGTTACTCAGACACGTTTTTTGGTGATTTTTGAAAATTTTGTTTTTTCTATGACGAAATGACTATTTTATAATGTTCATACATGAAAATTGTATGACAAGCATTTTTTCCATAGACGTCATATATGAAACTGTATGATAAGCATTTTTCTTCTATGGACTTCAACCCGGGAAGTCAAAACATAATTTAAATCGAACTAAGACGTAGCGTAGTCGAATCAGAGTAGAAACAATCAAACTCAAAAAAGGCTACATATGAGTCATACAAAAATCCGAGAAGCAGTATCTTGTTTTAGAAATGATATGTTAATAATTATAATGATACAAAAACAATAGATTCAGAAAAGTGATAGCCTGGCAGTATTTAGAATGAACGTATAATGTGAATCAATCTTCTTCATCACGAGGCCAAATTCTACTTTTTGCACACAAACTGAATCTTGCCTGTATGTCTGAGGAAATATGAGACAAAGTATTGTAACATGTTGAAATAGTAACTGAAATTAATTTTTCCAAGTTGACGTGGAATTCAAAAACGAATTTCTCGCAACGTAAGTTTTGTCGGCACATCGATAAAATGTGTCGCAAAATCCGCAACAAACCACAAGATCAGCGAGTGAAGCAAAAAGAACAAAGCAAGCATTGGAGTTGTACATCGTTCAATTTTTTTTGGATTCACAACAATAAATTGATCTCAAGTGATTAAAGAAACAAATTTTCATGCAGATCTCGTCAAAATGTTCCTGCATGGCTTTTTAATGACCATACAACAATAAGACTTGTCGCGGATTTTGCTTACCATTTCAAAAGATACAGTTTGGCTTCGTACAAAGACCATTAAAACAAGGATAGCTGGTTAATGTGCAAATAGCACAGAATGTGTCGTTTTTTTTTCAGCATAAACTAATAAAAAGATCTGCTGAACGAAAAAAAAAGAACATAGGTATGTTTGACAATCATGAAAAAACGCCATTCGGAAAACAATTTTTGAAAAAAATTGACTAGAAATACGAAAAAAAAATGTAAAAAAAAAATTGAAAATTTTTTTGAAAAATTTCAAAAAGTGTTGCAGATTTTTCTGGATTTTTAACCTCTGTTTACAAAATGGCGCTAAAAAAACTCCAAAAAGTACTAGAGTGCATCTAAGTTTTCGCGCCTTAAAGTAAGCTTAAATAAGCTATTGCAAGCGTACACGCTATACCACATTAGTTCGAAATTATACCAAAAATCAAAAATTTCAAACCGGTTTTTCTTAACGATTGAAACAGTTTTACAGGATATATCACTCCACCCATTACGGTAATTGTTTGTGGTACCTGATTTTGCGTCGAAAACAAAAAGAAAAGAAAAAACATTAAAACACACCCTAATACAGAGTTCCTCCCCATTTTTCAAATGGTCGGAAGAACTGGATGCTGTGCGAATAGCACAGAAAGCTCCGACCGTATTCTTATGAAAAGATAGAAACTACTGAGATTTTTTGCGTGGTGTGATAAAGGATCAGGGCGAAGGCCTACAACTTAGGCAGATTCGACAGTCATAGCGAAATAGGCAAAATGAACACCAGTTTTTATGTCGACCTTTTTTGTGCGTGGTGTGAACTGAAGCTTGAAGCTTAGACAAATTGGAAAATCAAAGTAAATAAGGCAGAATGGAATCAGTTTTTGTTGAAAAAAGATTTTAAAAAACTAATAAAAACAAACAAAATTTGCAGAAATTTGTTTTTTATCAAAATGTCGCTTGCCTTAAAACTATTTTTTTTGGAGTAAAACTATATTTTCAGGGCTTATCTTTCTTTAACAAGCTTGCTCGATATTTTTAGTGGCTCAAAATTGAACTCAAAATCTACAATTTTTAGTTAGTTTTTCTCGACACTAGGACCAATTTTTGATTTTTTTGAATGCCGTTCGAATCACAAAGGAAATGATTTTAACATGGAAGTCACTCGATCCAGTCCAAAAATTATTTGGGGTACCTGACTTAACGTGAAAAAAAAAACCAACTAAAACACACCCAAATTTTAATGTTCCTCCCAGTTTCAAAATTATTGTTAAAAATAGAAACAAAACAAAATGGGTAAAACAAGGTTAGTCGGTTACCGTTCAAGTAGCACAAAATGTTCCGACCATGTTCTAACAAAAAAGTGTCGTTTGTTTATGCGTGGTGTGGAAAACAATAAACTGAAAATAAACATTGGAGCTTCAAAAAATTGAACAATCACATAGAAAATGAATTAAAAAGCAAAAAATATCCAAAAAAAAATCAAAAACTTTGTTCAAAAACTTTTGCAGATTTTTTTTTTCAAATCGCGTTAAAAAGACTCCAAAACAAATTATATTGAGTAAAACCAAAATATCACGCCTAAACTAAGAAAAAATTGTTTCACTCGCTTGACTTTTGACTAAAAAACAAAAGTTTCAAACATGTTTTTCTTGATACTGGTTCAAAATGGCCGGAACAAAAACCGGATCACTTCTACAAAAATGATTTTTTCCCGCAAATACGCATAATCAACTATTCGTTGTATAAAGTGCCATACAGCATCAATTGTACTTTTTGCATTAGTGGGAAGTATTCAAACCGTCCCTAGCAGTCAGTAGAAAGAACTTGTTTTTTAACATATTATGTTTTTTATTTCAATTTTAGTCAAACTTTTTTGCTGTATGAAAGAAACAACTGACAACTTCATACTTTTTTTCAAAAAATAAAACAAAATGCATAACAACATCATCGAACTGTTTTATTAGAATTTATTCAATAAAAGAAATTGTATGATTGGCTTGAAAACGAACAAATTTTTGTGTGAAACAAAAAAACAAACAAATTTATGCCAAACGAGAAAGCCCAGCAGCAATCATAGTGCGGAATAGAGTACATTTTGAGATTTGGCAAGTGAATAAAACTAATGAGTTGAAACAGTTTCGTAACCAATAAGCTTCACATCGCTAATAAGCTTCTTTGTCGTAATATATAGTGAAAAAAATCGTGAACTGTTTAAAGGACAGATTTATGTTATCATCTAAAACCTTAAGAAAAGTTACTCTGAATCTACAGAAAGCGTTCATCGTGATTTCTTTTTCATCTATGCGAAAAAACTGTGACTGCACAAACTTGATAGATGAAATTTTAAATTTTGCTTGGAAGTTTGCCAAAAATTAGTTTGAGCTAAAAATTGATTTAGCAACCAAAATGAAATTTGCTTGGAAGTTTTCCAAAAATTAGTTTGAGCTAAAAATTGATTTAGCAACCAAAATGAAACCAACATTTTTTCTCAATATTTGCTTTTTTAAAACAAAAAAAAGGTTCTCATTCAATTTCCGAAATTGAAACTGTATGATAAGCATTTTTTCATAGAATTTGGTGACGCTATTGATCGATTTTGTTACCTGGGTAGAAACTTATCGAGATGACTTGATTCATTCAATTTTTCCGTTGTTTTCCCGAGTTGACCAAAATTGCTAGTCATACAATTTTCATATGTGGAAAAAATGGCAGTCATACACTTTTTATGCAAATCCAAGTACCAAAGTTTGAATGAAAGGTCTATTATTACCATTTTTCCATACATGAAAATTGTATGACTAGCATTTTCCCATAAACCAACAAAAAATCTATTTAAAAAAAATTTAATTGCTCAAAATTTTCGGGATGTGTTCGTGACCGGTCACAAAAGACAAAACAATGGTTTACTCAAACTAGAGTCACTAAAGTTATGATGGTCTTGCAATAACATGCATTAGAAACGACCTGATTCATAAGAATTTTCATACATAAATAGTATATTGAAAGAATCAAACCTTTAAATTTTGGCAAAAAGTTTCAAGTATGATTATTTTCGAAATTTAATTTTTCAAATTGTCAGACATTGATCAAGGCATACATAAACATGCCTTACAAAATAAATGAGGATTTTAGCGTTTTGAAAAAAGTTATTATGAGAAACACAAAAAATTCAATTTTTGTTTATCCAGGACTACGTTATGCAAACAAAAAATAATTTTTGCATGCAATTTTTTTGAAAATATTTGTTTGAGTATAGAATTCGAATTGCGCTTAAAAAAACAAAAAAAATTGTGGCAGTTTCAAAATTTCTTGTCGTCACCAAAAAATTGCTAGCCATACAATTTTACATGTATGAAAATTGTATGATTTGTTTTTTTTTTCATAAAAATCTTTTCTTTTTTTATTTAGTACGGTACACGACTTGATGCCAAAACAAGAAAAAATCTTCGCAAATTCGATGACACCATTTCAGCAAAATTTATGAAATTTTTATGATTAGTATTTTTTGGATTTAGTTTATGGAATTGTATGATTCTATGGAGGTCAACCGGGTCGGTTTTAATGAAGCGGGTCAGAATGATGTAGTTTCTTTCAAAGAGCATTTTTTGTTGAAATTAAAATTTGCGGTAAAAAATTTTCATCGGTCAATCAAATTCTAATAAACGCTCTTTCTTGTAACAATGAAAATTGTCTCATTTGATTGGAAAATTTTTCCACGGTTTAAAGGGTTCATCATTCAATCAAAGTTGAATTTAGTTCGACTTCCTTTTGTCTATTCTGGACGCCACAGAAATCTTGTAAACATATCACAATAAGTTTGAGTTTTTGGCTCAAAAAGTTCATCGGAAAGCTGAAAGTGTGAGCTACGCTATCAATTAAGTAAGTTGTTTCTAACATAAAAGCCTTCTTTCAATATAAAAAGTTTCTTTAACATAAAAACCTTCTTTTAACATAAAACTTTCTTATAATTATTAGCACAATTTTGTTTCTCCAAAATTTCAAATTTAAACTAACAACACATATAGCAAAAAATTTCAAATTAACGCCTATGAAACCAATTAGAATGTGC